CACCTTATAGGGTTTCTAGAGCTGTAATATTTACTGAAGCAGAGTGCAACATCGTTCTCCTATGGAGCGGCTGGTGGGTTCGAACTGCTGATGTTTCAGTTCACAGCCAGCGCTTAACCACCACACCACCAGGGCTCCTTACTTTATCTCTAAACCAAAATAAAAAACAAACTTACTGCCGTCAAGTCGATTTGACTCATAGCGACCCCTCCTTGGATTTCCGAGGCGGTATCTCTATGGAAGCAGATTGCCCAACCTTGCTTCTGAGAAGTGGCTGGTGGGTTTGAACTGCCAGCCTTCTGGTTAGCAGTCAAATCTGTCACAAATCAACTTTGCAGGTTGTCCCTTAGTGGTGGGAGAGGAAGGGAAGGGAAGGGTCTCTGCATTTTTCCTAGTGTCTGGTGCTTTTGGAGCTCTGATGTTGTAGTGGATAAGGCATTTGGCTGCTAACCAGCAGGTCAGTGGTTCAAACCCACCAACTGCGCCGTGGAAGGAAGATGGGGCAATCTACTTCTGTAAAGATTCACAGCCTTGGAAACCCAATGGGGGTTGCTATGAGTTGGAATTGACTTGATGGCAGTGAGCTTGGTTTTTTTGCTTTAGTGCTTTTGTTGACCCATATCCCCCACACACACACACTCACACCCACACTCCTAGGAAGCACACAAACACATACACTAGTCATATTCCATTTGTGATCCCCTGTGAACACACTAGCAGCTCTACGCAGGTTTGGCAGCCTGTTGGGTCCCCCAGAGTGTCAAGACCCTCCACCATCCACCTCCCGTGCTTTGGGGACATTTAGCTTCAGCTGGTGCTTCTCAGACACAAGCAAGGCTTCTGCCAGATATGCTCACTCCCCAACTCTAGTACAGATGTGCACACATGGCTCTATGCCACTGATCATGTGACCCCCCTTACCTGAAACCCTCCAGCCACCAGGGCTGCCAGGACAAAGAAGCCCTGGAGCATGGCCTGGTCTTACATCCTGGCCCCTCTCACTTTCCAGCACATAGTAGATGCTCAATAAACCATTGGCCAAACACTGAGGTCTGTTTGTGTTTAATCAGACAATATGCAAAATATTTACAACCAATTCTAGATCCCTCCCTCCCCCCAAGCCTGGGCCATGGAATGTGAGACCCCAAGACCCTGCCCAGAGCCAGGAGTCCCCCAGGCCTCTGCATAGTCATCTGAAATCTACAAAACACTGTTTGTTTGTTAAAAAAAAGAATTAGAAGGAAAAAGAACAGTACCAGGACACCTTGTACAAAGGGGCCTTGGGCAGTCAGAGGGGGGTTTGAGAGCGCCACTGCCGTGAGCAGCCCAGATTGGACGGGGACAGGAGACTTGGTAAGAAACATGAAGGAGAGGAAAAGTCGAAATTTCATAGGCAGGCACTGTTTGGCCTCCTTCCCCGCTTGCAGGGCCTGGCTGGCTCGAGAAACCCAGGCAGCGGGAATGTTATTGCTATGATGGGGGTCTGTGGGTGAAATGTACAATGTGTCAGGGGGAACAGAATGGGGGCGTTTTTACATGTTAAATATGGACACACATGGAGGCACACACACATGTACACACATACACATACACAGGGGGCCTTGGCAAGATGTCCACAAACTGTTGGCCACCCCTTTTACAGATGGGCCTCAGGGAAGGGCCACCACATACCCTAGGCTGAACAGCAGACCTACAGCCAAAACACATCTCCTGATGCCTGGCCACAGAGTCTGGTCCGGAGCTGAGCAGTTGTGGAGGCCACATGATAGAGAGGCTGTCCAGATTGGGGCAAGGGCTGCCAGCAGTCACACAACCACCTGGTACATGGCAGTGGACACCTTCATCCTCTCACCCCAGCCTAACGCTCCTTTCCCTACTTGAGAGTTCAGAGTTGCCAACTGGAGAAGAGCAGGGGCTAGGCCTTGAAATGTTGCAGGACAAACTGGGGAAAGGAGGACCTCGGGACCCTCCCTAAAGCCAGGTCAGGATTTCCCAACCTCTTAGCTTTTCTACTTCTGCTTGATTGCCTCCAGAGCCTGAGAGCTCACTCCTTTCATGGCTGACTAGCTCCGAAGGTCAAATACCACCCACATTCTGATTGAAGCCTGTCTTCCTGCAGCTTCCACCCTACAGTCCCAGCTCAGCCCCCTTCACTCTCTTCCCATGACAGCCCTGGTGAGATCTGCAGCCAGGAGTGGCAACAACACATGCACTGTCTCTCTGCTGTCTCTAATCCATCGTTGGGCCCCTTGGCTGCCCCAGTTTGTCCAAGAAGCCTCCAAGGACAAACCTCATTTGTTCCTGAGGAAGACAGAGGGAGTACCAGGTTCCAATCCCACCTCCAGCCTGAAATGCTCTGTGGCCTTGAGCAAGTCACAGGCCCTCTCTGGACCTAGTTTCCCCATGGGGGCAAGAACTTGATGATCTCTAAGGGCCCGTCAGGTCTGAGCAGGGCAGGGTTTGAGGGGAGTATCCACACTGCCCACTATCATCAAGTCAAGCTGGACTTCAGGGTGCCCAGCTAGGGAGCAGATAGCAGAGGGGTCTGGGCCCAGTGGCCTCCACCAACAGATGTTTCAGAAACAGATGGCAGGGTGGGCAGGCAGTCTGAGGGCCAGGGCCCATCCCTCCTCTTTGGAAAGGCTCTTTGGCCAGCTCTTGAGACAAACCTGGGCAGCGTGGGAAGTGAAGGAGGAGTCAGATGTGTGGAGTAGGCTGAGGCTGGGAAAAGGGGCCCCCACCCCAGCCCTTATTCCAGTTCCTCCTTCAGAGACTTGCAGAGCTCAAGGAGGGGATGCAGAGAGGAGGATGTGGCTGGAGTAGGAGCTGGGAGACAGTCACCTTGCCAGCCTCAACCCTGCCTCAAGGCTGCCCTGAACCCCCAAACCCTTCTAGCCACAAAGTGGGGAGGGTCCTTGCCACTGGCAATTCAGCCCCATGGAGGAAGGGTGGGTAGAGGGCAACAGAAGGAGGCAAGACCTTGAGTGAGGGGCTGCCTGCCCAGGATCCAAGCCAAGAGGCCAGTCCAACCCTGGGGCCTGCTCCCTATAGGTTCTCGCCGGGCTGGTACTGGGGCTCGGTGGATGTGAAGTAGTCCTCCAGGAAGGCCTGCAGGTACTCGAAGGTCGGCCGCTCCTCCGGTTCCTTTCGCCAGCACTGGCACATGAGGTCGTGCAAGGACTCGGGGCACTCAGGCGGGCAGGGCATCCGATAGCCCCGCTCCACCTGGTCCAGCACCTCGCGGTTCACCATCCCTGCAGGGAGAGGGAGGCATGAGGACTGTGGCTTTGGTGAAGAAGGTGGAGGTGGGGGGAAGTGGATGGGGACAACAAAGACGTTTTCCCATCTAGGACAGGTCCCATGTAACTGAGGGCAAGTCTCAGTCCCAAGGCTAAGAACACTCCCCACAGAGAGAGCCTAAGATCATATCTCTTTGTCACACAGGTGGGGAAATTGAGATCCAGGAGGGGGTATGGCCTATCCAAGGTCACCCAGGCAGAGGGGTTCAGGGACCAAAGATGGGCTCTGGGGATCCTTCTTACCAGGGTATGGCACCCGTCCCTTTGTTGTGAGCTCTGTCAGCAAGATCCCAAAGGACCACACGTCTGACTTGATGGTGAACCGGCCATACAGGGCAGCTTCTGGAGCCGTCCACTTGATGGGGAATTTGGCACCTGCAGGAGTGAGAATGGTCAGGGGTGGCTCATCAGAGCATCAGGACTGCTCTGCCAGATCGGCACCACTGTCATCCCCTTGTGACAGACGAGGAGTCTGCGGCTCCGAGAAGGGGCGTGACCTGCCCAGGGCCACACAGCATCCACTACTGGGACCTGCCCACCTTGCCGGGCAGTGTATTCGTTGTCTTCAATGAGTCGAGCCAGCCCGAAGTCGGCCACTTTGCACACCAGGTTCTCTCCAACCAGGATGTTGGCAGCACGGAGGTCCCGGTGGACGTAGTTCATCCTTTCCACGTATGCCATGCCTGAGGCAATCTGCAAGAGAACCCCCAGAGCCTGCCAGGGGCCATCCATGCCCCTCCCAGAGGCACAGGCCCAGGGTTGGGGCCATCCCAGGGGCCAACCAAACTCCTGCCTGCTCCATACTTCTTCAGGCAAAAGTCAAGTCAGTTTATAATAAATGATGTTGGCATAAAAACCAGGACCAGTGCTCAGCAGGAGCAAAAAACACAGAGCAAAAGGCAAAGGAGAAACATAAGACACCAGGTGGCCAGGGAGGTAGGTGGCCGAGGAAAGGAAGCCCAGCTGCCCCACAGACAGATGTGTATCAGGTCCTGCCTGCTATGCCTCTGAGTCCCCTCTCTGAGCCTCAATTTTCCCATCTGTCAAACAGAAATAATAGCCATCCCTCCCTCCTCTGACTGTAATAAAGACTAAATGAAAAATGGTTGTTGAGCACTGCCCACAGCAAGCACTAATTCATGTTTGTTGAGTAACTGAATAACCTTTACAGAGAAGTAAAATGAGGCATGAACCTATAGGAAGTCAGTAACTCTGGATCCTCAGGGGACTCTTTCCTCTGCCCAGAACCACCACTCACTGCCCCATAAGTAGCCCCAGTAATACATGCAGAGAGATCAGCGAGTGTGGGGACAACTAAGGCAGGCTTCCTGGAGGGGGCACCCAGGTGGCAGGAACTGGCTGAGCTAGGATGGGAGCTAGGGGCTCCGGGGTCAAAGATGTGGGGCAGTGAGAGGGGCAGACTCACCTGAGCAGCCATGTCCACCAGCTGAGGCAGCCGTAGGTATTTGCCTGTTTCCCCCTTGAGAAAGTCCAGCAAACTCCCTGGGCAGATAGAGACAGCTCCAGCCCCTGCCCCACTTTGCCCTGCCCTCCCCGGGCCAGGAACAGTGATGGCTGGGTCCTGTCCACCCAAGCAGGCTGGCCTCCCTTTAACAAGCGAACAGACTGTATGTAAACCCATCTCTGAATAACATCTCTCCCTAACTCAGCATTTGTCACTCAAAGGGCAAGCAGAACGGCAAACAACCCAAGTGACCACCTCCGGGTGAATGGCCAAGAAGACTGGGCACATATGGACAGTAGGATATTGTTGTGGTTGTTGGGTACCTTCAAGTCGATTCCAAATCATAGCGGCCCCATGTGACAGAGCAGAACTGCCCCGTAGGGTTTTCTTGGTTATAATCTTTTTGGAAGCAGATTGCCAGATCTATCTTCTGCACAGCTGCTGGGTGGGTTTGAACCACCAATCTTTTGGTTAGCAACCAAGAGTTTAACCACTGTGACACCGGGGCTCCTATGTCAGTGAACATAACCCAGCAATGAAAAGAAATAAACTACTGATACACCAGCCACAGAAGGAAGGTTGGGCAATCTACTTCCGTAGTGATAGTGCCTCAAAAACCCAAGGAGGGATTGCTATGAGTCGGGTCCGACTCGATGGTACATAACAACAAGAACGACAGGTAACAGCATACGTGAGTCACAGCTGTAAAAAATTACATACATGAAGCTCTAGAATAGGAAAAAGAAATCTAAAATGATAGAAAGCATAGCAGTGGGTTGCCTGGGGCTGGGGCTCAGGGCTACATTCTGCACAGAGGTGCAAAGGAATGTTCTAGGGTCATGGAGATGTTCTTTATCTTGACTGCGATAAGGGATACACAGATTATCCATCTGATAAAAGTGAACACTTAAAAACGCAGACCATACCTCAACCAAGTGGAATTTTACACACCAATTAACTAGTTTAAATGTTAACTATAGGTCGTGCCCGGGCCTCAGCTTGGACGTGGCCAGCTTGGAGGGCTGGGAAGTTCTCTTCTGACTCCACAATGGCAAATAGCTTTAGAAAGCCAGCAAACTGGGGGTAAGACGCATGGCGGAGATTAAAATGGAAAGGCCATGACTGGCCTGAGAACTGGGTTCCAGTGCACCCCATAAAGATGTCTGTTCTGGAGCGGAGGGAAGGAAGCTGTGCCCACCGGCCCTGTTGTGGCATGCCGACTCTGTGCCGGCCACTTGGGCCTCACCCTTGCTCATGTACTCGGTGACGATGTAGATGGGCTCCTCGGACACCACAGCGTACAGCTGCACCAGCTTCTCATGCCTCAGTTTCTTCATGACCTGGGCCTCCTGCAGGAAGGCCTCTGGAGACATCGTGCCCGGCTTCAGGGTTTTGATGGCCACCCTGGTAGTGCCATTCCAGGTCCCTGTGTGGGGAGGGGCACAGGCTAGCTCAGATAAGGCCCCCATCCCTGTCCCACAGGAACCTGGATCCACCTGTCTGGGTGCCAGTTCCAGCTCTGGCCTCCCTACCCATGTGACCAGGCCCTCTCTGGGGCTCAGTGACTTCATCTGGAATATGGGCACCATCGCACATGCTCCTGACAAGATTGTTACAAGGATTACTGGAGTCTCTGGCACGTGCTTAAGAAAGAGTGGCTGTTGTGAGAACAATGACAACTAGGGATGTCTTAAAAAGCAGCACACCAGCTGAGAGTTGCGAGACCATGGCTCTACCTCGACCACTCCCACCCCAAGTGATCTTAGGACCTCTGTGAACCTCCGACACATATCAAAGGTACCTCATGAGTTGGCCAACTGCAGCATGTCCTGGTGGGGCTGGGGATGTGGAGGGGCTGCCTATGGGCAGCTGAGGCCTCTGGAGCCCGAAGTCACCTCTGGAGCCTGCATCCCCCAAAGACTAAGGCATTAAGCTAAGTATGAGGTATGGAGGTCTGACCAACAGGAATTTGATTTCCTTCCTCTGCCTCCTGCCGGCAGTGGCACTGTGGGTGAGTCAGTTCCCCTTCTCTGGGCCTCAGTTTCCTCATCTGTAAAATGGGGGTGCTATAGTGCCAACGATGCTATAGTGCCAACTTGAAGTTGTCAAGGATTTCATTTGACTTGGGTCCACAGTTAATGCTCATGGAAGCAGCAGTCAAAAAAATCAAACAACGAATCGCAGTGGGCCAATAAGCTGCAAAACCAGCTGTTAAAAAGCCATGACATCACTTTGAGGTAAGGTGTGCCTGACCCAAGCCATGATCTTTGCAATAGCCTCACATGCATGTGAAAGCTGGACAATGAATAAGGAAGAAGGAAGAACTGAGCCATTTGAATTATGGTGCTGGCAAAGAATACTGACTATACCATAGACTGCCAGAAGAATGAACAAATCTGTCTCGGAAGAAGTGCAGCTAGAATACTCTTTAGAAGTGAGAATGGGCAGACTTTGTTCATCTCATATTCTTTGGACATGCTCTCAGGAGAGATCAGTCCCTAGAGAAGGACATGATGTTTGGTAAAGTGGAGGGCCAGTGAGAAGAGGGAGACCCTCAATGAGGTGGATTGGCACAGTGGCTGCAACAGTGGATTCAAACATAGCAATGGTTTTGGGGGTGCGGCAGGACTGGGCAGTGTTTCATTCTGTTATAGACGAGGTCCTTATGAGTTGGAACTGACTTGATGGCACCTGACAACAATAACATAGTGCCTACCCCGTTGGGCACTGTGGGGATTAAACAAGACTTCAAGCGTTAGGCCAGGGCTGTGAGGGCTCTGTAAATAATAGCTGCATTTATTGTTATTATTATCTGGTCCTTTAATTGTGGGGCCCTGAGGGAAGCTGTACTCTAAACCAGAGTATTTAATCCAGGTTCCTGTCCTGGCTGGGCCCCCTCCTCCCCATGCTTGGGCCTCATCTTGGAGTAGCCACGGAGGAAGTGGGTGACATTTCACATCACCCCCAAATGACACCCCAGCCAGGGATGAGTTGTGCAGCCATCAGAAGGGATGACACGATGGACTTATCCCCATTTTGCTCAAGTTCCCATTTAGTGTCTGCAGTTAGGCATTAAGCTTCTTGTCCCTCTGCCCTTCCCTAGCTTGGCCTGACCTCCAGCCTCCAGGCCACTGTCCTCATGGTGCCTTCCATCCAGGAACGCTCTGTGCTCTGACAATTAGCCCTCTGAAGGCAGGAAACAGAGATAGTGATACCGAATGAATATTGTGGCCCAGACGAAACCACCTTGAATACAGCAAACCGTGATCCCTGGCCGAGGCCACAGGCTCCCAGCTGTTATGCCCACCTCCACCGACCTCGGGATTCCTCTGTGTCAGCAGAAGCCAGCCACAAAAGAGGGGTCTGGGTTTTATCAGGGCTGTGTGGTGTATGTTTTCCAAGGTGGCTTTGTCATTTCTCCCATTCAAAGAGGGGGCTTCTCCAGGGTTAGACAGGAGATTCCAAACAGAACATGCCAGACACCAGGCTTCCCAGCATTCCCCTCTGTGAGCTGGCTTCTCCTTCCATGGCTAAGGGTTAATGTGAGGATGCACACGGGGCTAGTGTTCTCACATAGCAACCTGTAGGCGGGTCCTGTTATCAGCAGTCCCAGTTTACAATTGAGAAGACAGGTTCAGAGCAAAGCCTCCTGTTCAGACCACAGAGCAGGTCGCTGGGAGCTCCCAGTGCCCATGCTGGGCAGCTCTCAATAAACAGGAGCTGTGGTTTGCAGAGGTATGGGCTGTGGCGACTGACCCACCTCCCCTGCCCTGTGCCTAGTACAGCTCTGGGAAGGGGCAGGACTACCCCCAAACTTGGTACTAGCCACCACTGGAGGATTTTCATAGTTAAAACAGGGCTCTGTTACCTGCCGCCTAGAGGCAACCGGATCATGGAGAAGGAAAAGGGGTCAAGGAGATTTTGACTGGTGACATAGTGTGGACATCTGCCTGGTTCTCAGGCCAGGCTCTCTCCTGAGGTGGGGGGCAGTGCCAAAAGGCAGGGGGGCAAGGCCTTACCCATCCACACTTCCCCGAAGCAGCCCTGGCCCAGCTTGACCTCCAGCCGCAATGATTCCCGAGGGATCTCCCAGGCGTCCTTCGCCAGGCCTTGAGTCTGTGGCTTGGACGTGGGGCACACGGTGATCAGCCGGTGGCACAGGCCGTCAGCGTGTTCTAAGGACAGAGGTGGGGAGGTGGAGTTTAAGCAGGGTTCCCCGTTGGGGGGCTTCCATGTCGCATGGTGTATGTACACTGCACATTGTGTGCATACACCCCACATAGGCCCATACTGCCTCAGGCATCCATTAGGAGTCATTCCTTCCTCCCTTCCTTCCTTCCTTCCTTCCTTCAGTCATCAGACTTTAAGAGGTGGCTACCTAGGCTGGGGCTAGTAAGCCAGAAAGGGACAAATCAGGAGCCACAGTCTAGGGGAGAGTCCAGCTTCTCTTAACCACATTCCAGGACCACACTGTGGCAGAGAAGACCCCTGTGTGCTGTGAGTGCGGGAGCAGGTGGGCTTGACGGAGTCCTGACAAACTGCCCAGAGGAAGTGATCACTGGGCTTGGGTCTGTGGGAGGGTGAGCAGTTAACTAGGGGCACTTTAAGCAGAGGGCACAGGCCGTGCAAAGGCCCTGAGGGCTGCAGGCCCTGAAAGGAGGCCAGAGGGAGCCGCAGGGAAGTGGAGGCGGGAAAGAGTGGCAGGAGGTGAAGGGGGGGGCATCTGGTTCAGACCACATAGGGCCTTGGAGGCTGCAGGAGTCTTTAACCTGATTCCAAGATAGTCCCAGCGGTTTTTAATCAGGGGGAACATTTTTGTTGTTGTTGTTATGTGCCGTCGAGTCAGCCCTGACTCATAGCGACCCCTCCTTGGGTTTCCGAGGCAGTATCACTACGGAAGTAGGATTGCCCAACCTTCCTTCCGAGGAGTGGCTGGTGGGTTTGAACCGCCAGCCTTCTGGTGAGCAGTCAAGTGCCTTAGCCACTATGCTACCAGAGCTCCTAGGGGGAACATAGCACCGTGAAAAGATTTAAGGTTCAGAATGAGCCCTGCAGTGGTGGCCTAGGGAACAGAGAGCAATGGTAGAACCTATTGACAGTTGGGAGGCCTGGGCCACAGAAGAGGAGGAAACACAGGTAGGAGTAGCTGGTTCTCACAGGCACACGGAGGCATGCCCAAGGAGATCCATTCTTGTGAGTACACACAAGCCCATGGCACTACAGGCACCAGGAGTCCTAGACCTCCCATGAATCAGCCACACTGCTACACACATGCCCCGCACACACGTGCCCCACATGCACCCACGTACACCCCACACACACACCTCACACGTGTGTCCCATATACATACACATGCCTACATACATGCCCTGTACACATGACCTGCACACACACACTCACACACTACATACACAGCACCCCATACAGGAACCCTGCACATGTGCCCCACACACGTGAGCACCATAAGCACATGCTCTCTCTGCTTCTCTCTCTTTGCTTCAATCAATACAGCGGCCCCCTCCTCTTCTCCCAGTAACCAGTTCAGACTGCCCTGGGGCTGCAGAGACAAGTGACACCAGCCTATGCCCCCTCCCTCCTCAGCACTGGTGCGCCTTTGCAGGCCCCTCCTCCCCAGCCAGCTGCAGAGGAGGAGAAAGGGCGGGGAGAGAGAAGGAAGGGGGTAGGAGGGAGACGGGGCACAGGGAAGGGAGATGCAGGAGAGACGGCCTCCTGGGCCTCAGCCCTGTGGGCCTCGAAGCTCCCTCCCCAGGTCTGCTGTTGAGGTCCAGCCCCATCCCACAGCCTCACAGCCCTCGAGGGCCCAGGCCAGGCCCCCGCGCCAGGTACTCACTGGAGTAGTAGGCCACCAGCTGCTGCAGACTGTTGAACTGGGTGCGGGAGGTGATGTAGAAGCCGCCACTGTCCAGCTTGCGGATCTTGTAGTGCTTCACGTTGAGGCCCTTGGCGTTGTCGAAGTCAGACACTGAGAGACAGTAGGCGCCTGCAGGGCAGGGTCAGAGGGGAGCCGTGACCTCCATGCCTGCCGCCTCCACAGGCCACAGCCGGGGGACATTGGTGCCACCTCTGAGCACCGCTGTGTGCCTACCTGACACAGGAGGGAGGGAGGTCCAAAGTGGTGAGCACTTGGCCCAGGACAGAGCCAGCACTGGTATGTCTCTTAGCACCCAGCTCGGAGGCAGCCACCGAGGCAGGGCCAAGAGAGCCAATGAACATCTGACCAGGGGCTCTTGCCATACACCCATGGCTCTGGCAAGACCACCGGATCCTGTGTGCACATCCCGGCTTTATGGCCTTGACAAGTCGATTGCCCTCTCTGGACCTCAGTTTCCTCTGTGCAATGGGGGTATTCCTAGGATCCCTGGGAGGTTCAATGAGACCACATAGAAGGGGGCCTGGCACACAGTAGGTGCTCAGTAAGTGTTTGCTGGGAGCCTGGGGATGACCCCAAGTGTCCTGTGTGTCCTGGCCTAACTGCTCCCCTCTCTGGGTCTGCCTGTGGGGACACTGTCCCTGTCCTATCTCTCTCCTGCAGCTGGGTCTAGGCTCAGACACGAGTTGGTGCCTAGCAAAGACTGTGACAGCTATGGGCAGGCAATTTGAGCTGGGTGTGGCCTGAGGACTGCCAAGGCTTAGCTGGGCCAGCCCTGGTAACCCCTCCCTGCTTCCCTTAAGCCTGGAAAAGCTTTTGGCTGGAAAAATTTCCTCACGTCCAACAGGCCTGGCTAGGAGCCTCTATTGCTCTGAACCCAAAATGCCTGGAGTAGCATCAGGGAATAAGCAAGGCTAAGCCCCAGAGTGGGAGAAGTGGGGAGCAGAAGCCTCAGGGGCCAGAGAAGGCCCTTCTTGGGAGCCTGGCCCAGCAGGATGTGGCGATGTGCTGGAAGCCCAGTCCCCCGGACCACAGACCTTCTTTCTGGACGGTCCCTAGGTGGGGGCTGTGATACCCAGTACACAGCAGGGGAAACTGAGGCCCAGAGAGGGAAAGTAGCTGACCTCCTGTCACCAGAATGTCAAGCACAGAGCTAGGACATGAACTCATACCCCAGACCTCACTTGGCAGTGAGGCCACACTTGGCAACCATAATTTGCTGCACATGGCCCAGGCCATGTATGTGTGTATAAGCCACAGGCCTGAGCCCAAGGCCAACCCTGGGACACCTGTGCACATGCCCAGGAAAGCTGTGACTAGCGGCCCACATGCTCACACGGGTACACACTCCCCGGTCCTCCAGGCATGAGGACAAACTCACAATTCATTCCACACAGCATTCCAGCCATGCATGCATACACACCTAGCCCTGTGTGCAGTATGCACATGTGTACCCATCTCTGCTCCTGTGAGCCTCAAGGCTACAGGAAGAGGCCCAGCTTCATCACTCTGGCAATGGGGCACTTTCTGGGAGGTGGACAGTGGAGGGATCTGCATTCTCAGTGGTGGAGGGAGGAGAGGCACAGGGGCTACAAATGTTGGGAGAAGAGCAAGGCCAGGTCCCAGCACTCAGTTCAGCCACTGAAGCCCCTGGGAACAGGAAGATGAGAGGTCTACTGGATCAGCATCAACTCTGAGCTTTGGCTGTGTCATCCTCAGACCTCCACCTGTTCCCACTCCTCACCTCAGGAAACTGAGGTCAGAGAACTAAGCCCTATCTTTGGCTGCAACCTCTGCTTCTCCAGATAACGCAGTGTTCCTCCATGTACCTCCTTGCCTTTGCTCCTGCTGGTGTCTCCACCAAGAGGGCTCTTCCCATCCTACTCCATATAACAAACTCCTATTCATTCCACAAAAAAACAAAAAAAAAAAACACCCACTGCTGTGGAGTCATATCTGACTCATAGCAACCCCTCCTTGGATTTCTGAGGCAGTATTACTACGGAAGATTGCCCAACCTTCCTTCCAAGGAGTGGCTGGTGGGTTTGAACCACCAGCTTTCTGGTTACCAGTCAAATGCCTTAGGCACTACATCACCAGAACTCCTATTCATTCCGTAATACACACCTCAAAAAACCCACAAAAGACCCAGGTCCCACTGGCCCACAGAAGGAATGCCAATACCTTTTGTGGTCTCACTCTCTCGCACTAGGAAGGTCCCTCGCGGGTTTTCCACATTCAGCAACAACCTTTCTGACTCCCGTCTGGTGATCTTGCCAAAATACCACCTGGGCGGGAAGAGGGGAGGGTGGTGGCAGTCCAGGCTTCCCCCACCCACAGCACCTCTCCCTGGGATGTGTCCAGGGTCCTGGGCAGCCCAAGAGGGAAGCTCAGACCACACAGTGACAGGGGGCAGGCAGGTGACCAGGGGGTTGATACTCACTCCTCAGCTTGGATGGAGTCAGAGGGTGCCACATAGTTGCTGGGGATGTAGCCCGTCTGTCCTGTGCTGAGCGAGTGGGCCAGCCACCAGTCTCCCTCTCTGAGCAGGGGGAGCAGGAGGAAGCAAAGGAGAGGGAGCCATCAGCAGTGGTCCCAGGGCCTGCAGTCTTCCTGGGTGCTGTGCGGGACCCCTCAAGCAGAGTGAGACTCAGGAAGGCAGTGGACCAGCTTGAGACCGCGCAGCCTGCCAAGTGGAGCTGGCCTGGAACACTTCCCCTCCCCATCCCAGATGTCTCCTTGCCAAGGTCAGCTCAGATAGGCTTTGTCAAGGATGGACCTTGGTCAGCCTGAGGCCTGATCTCCAGGGACAGAGTCCCACAGAGGGAAATGATCTGCTTCCCTTCAGATGGAAGCCAACAATGAAGCCAAGAGCTGCCTTGGGAGTGAGGCAGGGAGCGCCGTCTCAGGGGGCAACCAAGCCATGGCGGGAGAGAAGGCTCCTGCCTGAAATGGATGTCAAGTTAGACCTTCAAGGCCTCTCCTGGCTCTGAGGCTTAGAAGCCCAGTCCTTGGGGCTGGGGAGACCTGGGTAGAGGCCTAGGAACGGCCCTTTAGGGGGCTGGTGACACTCTAGGCCCCAACCCTGCAAACTACAGCAATGCTTGCCTTTGTCACAAGTCACAGGTCACACCTAAAGGGCTCCTCAGCTGAACACTACAGGCCTCCTCCTGCAGCTGCCCATCTGCAGGGGGAAACGGAGGCCAGGGGGTTAGGACTTGCCCAAAGTCACACAGTGTCATGTCAGAGGGGGCCAAGGTGGCAGAGGCCCTGGTACTCAGGGCACTTCTACACTAATTACCCTATAAGGCGGAAGAGGGGACGGGGAGCTTCCCAGCACGGTCGGGTCCCCTGGGCCTAGGCGGGAGTGGGGAGGGGGTGGAAGTACCTTTGCAGCCATCTGAATGTGAACCAGGTCTGGCTGGAGCGGGGGTCCAGAGACACAGAGGAGGGAGGAGAGAGCGAGAGCCCAACAGGAGAGAAGAGGCAGAGATGGGGGTGGTGAGAGGCAGAAAGTGTGAGGAAGAGAGAAGACAGGAGAGCCAGGCGGTGCTGGGGACCAGGGACAGGGCGGGGCAGCCGGCACGGGCCTCACATCCAAAGCAACCAAAGGGGACAGGAAGAGGGTCCACGGGAAATGAGGAGACATCAACGGAGGGGCAACAGAGTCCAACCCTCCTCCCACATCCATTGTACAGATGGGAAGACTGAGGCCAGAGAAACAAAGGCCTTTCCTCAAAGTCACACAGCCAGGCCCAGCCTCCTGATTCCAGACAGAAAGGACCCTTCCCCTACAGAGTGCAGTGGGGCTTTATAGCAAGATGAGTTTGTCTTAACAAAGCTGCCTTTGCGCCTCCCCCAACCTGAGATGTACAGCAAACAGAACAGCCTTCTTGCCGGGGCCCAGAGAAGGAAAAGCCCTGGCCCACAGTCACACAGTCAGAACTTGAATCTGGGTCTCTGGCCCCTGGCTCTTCTGAGCTGCCCCTGGCCAGACTCCTCAGCCTACTTTCAAGAAGAAATTGAGGTCATGAGGGGATAGGGCCTGGGGAGCTCTCCAACGGCCCATAGGAGTGTAGGTGAGCACCAAACCGCCGGGCTCAGCTGGGTGGGTTGAGGCTGAACCAGAAGGCACAGGGGTCCCTGCTGGATGGAGTGAAGCAAACTGAACACAACTGGGGCTATATGGCCTGACTCCACTGTGCAATCCCTGTATGCTCACTTAGGCAGGAGCACAAGCTCATGTGGGGGTCTCTGGGGGAGAGAGAAGGTCTTGGAGAAGGAGTGAGTCCCACCTCAAGGAAATGAACCCTTGGGTGCTCAAAACTGCCATCCACCTCCCTGTTGCATCCCCACCTGGAGGTGTCCACACGTCTGTCCTGTTTGACCCTCATGGCCCCACTCTGCAGATGTGGAAACCGTGGCTCAGAGATGTCCAGGGACCAACCCAAGGGCACTCAGCAGCCATGCTGGAGCAGCCTAGTACTTTCTTTGTATAGCTGGGGAAACTGAGGCACAGAAAAGGGCAGGGACTTGCCCAAAGCTACAAACAAGGGCTCAAATCATAGAACAACCCTCTGAGATCTTCTCCAAAACCTTCATCTCACCAGTGAGAAAAATGAGGGACAGTGAGTTGCCCAAAGCCACACAGCAGATCAGTGGGAGAGCAGGGGTAGATAGCAAGGTCTCTGAGTGCCTACGGCTGGGTGCACCAGGCTTCCTGGCCCCTGCAATCTCCCCCAGGCCTCAGAGGCTCAGAAACCCTGACAAAGACAGAGGAGGTACCAGTAGGGCTTGGGGCAGGAGGCAGGCTGTACTTAAACAGGGCCAAAGTCTAAGGTCAGAGGTCACAAAATGAGGTGGCTTAATAAAGCCAGAGCCTGAAAGCTGGCCAGCCTCCAGGAAGCCCCTAAGCTACCCAGTCAGAGGAGAAGGTTGCAGGCGGCGTGTTCCCAGAGGTTGGCCAAGCAAGGTCCACAAACAAGGGACACTCAAGCTGCTAATGTCACCCCAACTTCACCAGCAGAGTTTCAGCTCCCCAATACCAGCCTATATGCAAGTTTGGACTTCACAGTCCAGTTTTTGGGGTTTTATTTTATAAACCCCCAAAAGGTAAATAAAGGACTCAAGATACAGCTTCAGCCTGGCCCCAGCTTTAAATGTGCCCTAGAGCTTGGACACCATACCAATCCCTTCAGAGGCTCACTTTTCCCATCTGTAGGATGGGGGTACTCATGTCTCCTTCCCACAGGGGTTATGAGGGCTCAACACACATGAGCTGTTGATATAGTGACCTGAAACCAACTGAATTTGTATGTCCACAGTGCCTTTCCATGCCCTCCAGAACGTTTTTAAAAACCAAAGCAGCCCAGTCCCAGTCTCCAACAAGGATTTGCTGTGTGGCCCTAGGCAAATGTCCTGTCCTCTCTGGGTCTTAGTTTCTTCATCTCTTTAAAAACAAACAAAACCAAACCTCACTACCATTGAGTTGATTCTGACTCATAGCAACCCCCTTTGGGTTTCCAAGTCAGTAAATCTTTACAGAAGTAGATTGTCCAGTCTTCCTTCCATGGAGTGGCTGGTGGGTTTGAACCGCCAACCTTCTGGTTAGCAGTCAAATGCCTTAGGCACTATGCTACCAGAGCTCTGTAAAAAGGAGACAATATTCACAGAAGCTTCCTTGCAGGCAAAAGGTGTAAAGGAGTCAGCATCAGGTGATGTTCTTCTGAGAGAATCACAGTGATGACCATCCAGGCCTCAGTTTGCCCACCTGGGAAACGGAGGCATCAGTCCCCATCTTCCCACCTAAAAAGTTTGGGAGGTTCAAAACTGCCACAGGTGGCTGCAACCCCGCTCTGCCAAAGGTCTGGGGCTGCTCCCCTCTGGGAACCCCACAGCTTCCTGTGGCGGTCCAGTCTGGGAGTCACCAACCTGAGCCAAGTCGGAAGTGACAGCACCATTAATCTACCAGGCTGGACCGATTGATGGCATCCGGTGCCTTCCCTGGGACATGGTCCTCATCAGACAGGTGGAGAAGAAGGGAAGGAAGGAAGGGAATCCCACATTCCCTGCCCGGCCCCTCACCTTCCCCATGGGGCCAGAGGAGAAAGTCCTGGGCCAGGAGTCCCCAAACTGCAGTTCTACATCCTGACTGCTGTTCACTCGCTTTGTGGTCTCAGGCAACTGACCTCACCTCTCGGAGCCTTGGGGTCCTCATTTTTGGACCCTTATTCTGGTGCAGATCTGGGGTGGGGGGTGGGGCAGCTGTGGGACCTGGGAAGTTGTGCCATGCTGGAGCATGGATATTTTTAACTCACTTGGGCTGCTGGGACTCATGAGAGAAACATTTTGGGGACTGCAGACGACCTGGTGGCCTGGCACAGCCCAGACCTGAGCCCAACAGTTCCAGGGCTGAGGCTGGCTGCAGGCCAGGCAGTGGCTGGACAGCCTGATCGACACTGGCCAAGTTTCTGAGTCCTGAGGACAGAGGCACATGGTCTGAGCTGAGGGTAGTATGAGGAGGACAGGACTATGAGGGTAGTATGAGGGTCCCTGGAGGGGGCTCTGAAGCTCTGAGGTGACCCTGCCCTGCGGTGGGCAGAGGAGCCAGAGTGCCCGTGGTAAGGAGGCAAGAGACAACTGGAGAACTCCCCCAGAGAAGCTGTTGGAATTTGAGGAGAAGGAAGGGGCAGCTCAGGGAGAAACCTGAAGGCAGACCTCAAGGGGCTACACCTCCCAGGGACTCAGATACCAGGTCAGTGGCCTTGGGGCAGCAGACCTCAGCCCCAGTTGGCTTCCTTGAGCCCAGGGCCACACAGCACTCAGAAGACTAGGACCTAGGCCCAGTCAGCAGGATGATCCAGGGAGTAAAGCCCCCAGACCCGCCACTGTGAGTACCTCAACCCAACCAGCCTTCACCAAACCCCGAAAGACAGACAGGTTCATCTTGAGGCTCTCTACCTCCCTTCACCCCAATCCAGCTCCACACGGACTAGACTTCCCAGGCTGGACTCCAAAAGCCACTCACTCATTCAGGAGGATAGGGGGAGGTGGGTCTTGGCAATAACAAGCCCTAAGTAAAAATGGTAGAAAGACAAGAGGGAAGTCCCTGGGTGAAGTATGAAACCTAATCACCTCCAATTTGAGTGGCCCATCTTCCACTAAGCCCCCCAGATCCCTTTATCCCTCCTCTTCCTGTAATGCCAGCCCCAACTCCACCACCAATCACCTCTCCAGCAAAGCTGCAGCTGAGTGTTGTAACAGGAGGGCTCCAAACCTATCCCTTCTCCCTGAATCAGGGGCTTCCCTTGGACAAGGCTCATACACTTCCAGTCCTCCTGGCAGCTCAGGCCCCACCAAATCTTCCCCAGCCCATCCCAGATGGCAGGAAGAAAGAAGGGAAGGGGCTGGACACACAGAGGAAGGAAGAGGGAGGTTGCCCCTGACTCCAGTTGAAAGAGGCAGAATCCAAGTTCCCTGACCTTTCCTGGCTCCATGCCTTTGCTCAAGCAGCGGCCCCCACCTGAGATGCCCTCCCCACCACTGCCACCATCCTGATGCCACCTCACCTGCAGGAGCCTTTCCTCCTGCCAGGTCCTCTGCACCTCCACTGAGCCTCCTATAAGGGCCATGGCCCAAAGGGCCTGCCTACCTATCCCCGCTCTGCCATACTAGCTGTGTGACCTTGGGCAAGTCATTTCACCTCTCTGGCCTCAGTCTTCTCATCTGTAAAATGGAGCAAACAAGAGCCCCCACTTTACAGGGCTGTGGTGACATGTATATAAAATAATGTGACTTAAAGTGCTCGGCACAGGAACCGGCTCATTACGATATGACGTATAGATGTGATGAATGGTACCAGTTTTATCACTGTTCGTTCATCCTGTTCCCCAACACTGCTAAGTACCCCCAGTGCACAGTCCTACACTAAGCAACAAGTAATGTGGGAGCCCAGAAGTGAGAAAGACTGGAGAGTAGCCCTCAAGGAGCTCCCAGTCTGAAGGGGGAGGCAGACGGAAGCAGCTGGTGACAAGGAGCTAACTGGGGCTGCACCAGGACTCTGACAACAGAGGGAATGGGAGGCTGGAGAAGCTCCCTTCCCCAGAGACAACAGTTTGAGGAAGGGGACAAAGCCTCTAACCAAGTTCCATTCCTGGCTTTGCTACTTGGTAGCTGTGTGACCTTGGGCAAGTACCTTCACTTCTCTGAACCTGTTTCCTCATTTGCAAAATGGAGACAGCCCCCTCCCCTATCACTACACCTTGGTAGGACTGTAGTGAAGAGTAAATGCAAAGACACAGGTACAGATGCCTGGCACCTCTATTCTCTTTTGCCTCACAGAGAAGGGGCTCCTGAGCTGGGTCTTGAGGGATGAATAGGAGTTTGCCAGGCAGAGAAGGGAGAAAGAGCATTTCAGGCAGAAGGAACAGCATGCAGCAAGGGAAGGGAGGCATGGACAAGCAAGAATGACTGGGGATGGTGATGTCCCACCTCCTCAGCCAGGCCTTTGCGGACACTTGGGGATCGAATCTGCTTTGCCCTCTCTAGCCTCTTAGCCTTTCATGGCCCTAAAGGCATCCACCCACTTCCAGCCCTCCGTCTTTTTGCAAGGGGCCCCTCCACTTGCCAGACAATTTTACTGTGCTTCCTTCAGGGCTCCTGTGTCACCACCAAATGGGGGCACACAGCAGGACCTCCAAACGACTGAGCTGACCCCAGCCTCTGCATGTCCCATGGCCTGGACTGGAGTGACTGGGGTTGACTCTGGCCATACTTGGCTACAGGAGGATATGGACAAGGCCTTCTCCATCCAGGCCTCACCAGGCTCCACACTGGGCCCTGCATGCAGCTGACACTCAATGAGGGGACAGAATGGGGACGGGTAGTATGAAGGCAGATGGGGAAGGGGTGAGATGGTGAGTGAAAAGGGTAATGGGAGGGCCCGCCCACCCCCTCAGCCTGGAGTCAGGGTCTGGGGCCTGGTCAAACTGGCGTATGGAGGGAGGTGAGGGCAGCTGGGCGGGGTGGGCGATGCAGCTGAGGGAGCCGGAGACCACAGGCAGGGACACTGGGGTGGCAGCGCGTGCAGAACAGCAGCCCCTCCCCAACCCAGCAAAGCACCCCACCCAGCCCGCAGCCCACACAGTGCGTACACACCTGACATCCACCTTCCTCCTAAGGGCCAGCGAGAGAGAAGCAGAGAGAGGGAGCGGCTGAGAGGGCTGGAGGCAGCAAGCATGGACGAGGGGATGGAGAAGGGGGACCCCCACAGGGTCGCCTGTGGAGGGGCCAGTGGGAACACTAGAGGCAGGGAGGCTCCCGCTCCTGAGCTGGGCTTACAGCCTGAAGCCTCAGTCACCCTCAAAGCACTGCTCCTCCCTCTGCCTTCCCACACTGTCCTCTGCCCCATCCAGCCACTGTGTTCTTGGTGGCAACAAAGAAGAGAAGGGACAAGAGAGCAGGGAGGGAAGGGGGGGGGGGAGAGGAGAGGAGAACTCCCCACCCCAGGGCTAGAGCCCCAGACCCTTCCAGGCTTCACTGCTCCCTGCTCCCTGCCCACAAGGACCCCAGAGCTTGGCGGGAGGCTCTCAAGACCCCCAGGCCAGCTTGGCTCTAAGCTGCCCCCTAGCACCACCAAGGCTCGAGTCCCAGAAGTGAATCAGACCCCTCACGGTACCCTGCCCTCTACATCCTTTCCCACATCTCATCCTCATGTCCCATCTCCTCTCAGATTGGATATTTTGTCCCCAATCTTCCCAGCATGGGCCCCTTCCCCCCACAGCTGGAGACTTCTGGCTTCACTGGCTGCCCCCACCCTCCAGCCCCAGGTCACTGATGAGGGCACAGTCCTTCCTGGGTCCCGGGCCCGGTTCTGCCCTGACCACATGCCCCCTTTCAGGGTCCAGGGCCTGGGCTGCTATGCTCTGATGTCCATTTGCTGTTGCCACCATTTTCAGCCCCTGGACCCAGATGCCTGCCTGCTCGGAGCCCCAGGCTGACAACCACCACCTGTACGACCATCCTCCTCGGCCCCTTGCTGCTTCCTAGGGCCTCCTGATGCCCTGGAGTCCTGACATTCAGCTCTGCCCACTGCCCATCCCGCCGCACTCTGGCGCTGGCCTTGGCACGGCCTGCAGGAATACTCAGAGGTGGCTCTGGCTCAGGCCTAGGGCCAGGGGTGGTCCTGAGGGGCTCTGGGGAGGGGGGCACTCACGTGTTGTTGACAATCTGAAGCCGTTCCCCCTTCTTGAAGGACAGGTCAGTCTCTGTCCTCGACTCATAGTCATAGAGGGCCACAAAGGTGGTCACTCCGCCTGCAGAGAGGGGTGGAACATGTCAGAGTGGTGGGGCCATGACCATGGGACAGGGGTGGGCACCGAGGTGATGTCTGTTTTATGCACTACTGTGTCTCCAGCACCAGGAGTCCTGGCGTATAGCAGGGGCTGACAAGTATGTCTTCAACTAATCAGTATGTGTGTAGTCTGTGTCTGGGGGTTCATGCCCATCCACGTGTCCTGAGTGTGTATTTCTGTGTGTGTGCGTGTGCTCATGGTGCCCGTGTGTACTTAGGCATCTGTGAGTCTGTGGTGTTTCTAGCTGAGCATGTGTCAGTATCTTGCGTGTATGTTTCTGACTGTGTACTTGTTGGTGCATCTTCACCTGAGAGTACAAGGTTGTGTGTGGGTGTGTTTGCATGACCGTACATCTGCACTCAGGCGTGTGTCTGTGCCCAGGGGTCCACACCCATCCGCGTGTCCCCAAGTGCATGTCTGTATGTGCATTGTGTGCGTCTGTGATGGTATCTTCAGCTGAGCGTGATTTTGTGCCCTGTGAGGGTGTCTTGGAATAAGGTGCTGACCATGGGTATTGCTCCATGTGTGTGGCTCTGTAGAAGTGTGTCAGGAGTGCATATGCGAATATCTTCATCCGGTGTCTTGGACACCCATCTCCACCAGAGTCTGCAATTCTCTCTAAGTGTCCCTTACCTGGGGCTGCTGTGCCCCAAAGTGCCAGCAGAGGGCAGAGGGGTGCATCTCAGCATCTCAGGACCCGGCCTTCCTGGTGCTCCATTCCCTCCCCTAAGCTGGGCCTGCGCCTCCTTTGCCACATGCCAGCCACCCATCTTGACCTAGCCCTGGATTAACCTGAGCAAGGGGCAGACCCTGGACCATAAGGTAGCAACATGAGATCGGGTCCCCACACTGCCCTGAGGAGCCCTTGTCCTAAACCACCCCCTCTGGGCCTCAGTTTTCCCCACCTGTTATTGTCTTCCACTCCTACATTTCTAGACCTCCTTACACTCTGCATCTTATCACCTCAAAGGCAATGGATAAAAACGTGTCTTCTAGTGTGTACCATGTACCCCCCTTTATGGTTTACAAAGCCCTCCCTACCCACAGCCTCCCAAAGGCCCCCCAAACAAGTAACCCTTCCCTTTAGTTAGAGAATGAAACAGCAGCCAGGGAGGGCATCAGCCCCAGAGCACACAGCCTCCTGGCAGAACAGGAAAACGGGACACCCAGCACCCTCCCCCCAGGCCCACTGACCAGCCAGTGGCCCTGCCCTCTGTGGGGAGGTGACTGTGTCCGAGGAGTTGAAACCTCCAAACAGCTTGGGCTCAGCAGCTGCCGGGACAAAGGCTGCATTGGGACCACGGTGGCCGTCAGCAGAGGCCGGCTTGCTGGGGGTTTGTGAGGCAGGGAATGCTCCCCCACCACCACTGTGGGCATTCTCGGTGGGCTCCAGGCTGCGGCGCCGTTGGCTGGCATCCTTGGGCTTGCTCTTGTTGCTGCCCATGGTCCTGGCTGAGATAAAAGAGGACCCTTGGGTGAAAAGGAATCTCTGGGCACAGGTTGGGCCTCCTGGATCCCTTACCCACCCCTACCCATTCTACAGATGAAAAAACTGAAGTCCAAAAAGGGATGCTGTGGGACCCTGAGTGAGTTAGCTCCTCAGAACCTCAGTTTGTTCTTCTATAAAATGGGGGAAGAATGATGGCATCTATAAAGGGCTTCCTTGTTACAGGGCCAGGCACAGAAGAAACATAGTCAGCAGCCCTGGATGTCCCTTTTCCCCTCAAGTAAATGTTTCTGTCCCTCCTTCATGGGCAGACACAGTATCTGAGTCATGTCCATGTCCCTGGCACCTGGCACACAGGAGAAGGCTCACTGATGGTTTGTTAAATGACTACACAACTGATAGAAATTGTCTAATACCAGGGGAAAGAGTTACAAATGGTGACAAAGGGAGTGATCCACCTGAACACCCTTGAAGAAGGAGAGACTGCTGGGAGCTCACTCCAGCCCCAGGACCCTTGCACATGCTGTTCCCTCTGCCTGGAATGTTCTTCCCTGACCACGTCACCAGGGTAACTCATGCCTCCTACAGTTCTCAGCTCAAAGGTCACACTCTCAGGACATGTTCCTGCCTCCTTTCGTTGGGTCAAATTCCCCTGACTTTTGTGGCACTCCTTGATAACATGTGGCCCAGTTATCATTTTTTAATTTGTATGATTGTTTGACTACTGTTGTGGGTTTTTGTTTCTCTTGTTCACTGCTGTGTTCCCAGTGCCTAGCATAGGGCGTGACATACAGTAGCTGCTCAGTAAACAGTTGAATGAATGAGTGAATGAGTGACTATTCAAGAGTACAAAGATTTCTGAGTCAGAGATCTGCGTTCTCAAATGCAGAGGGAACCAAGATAAAACTCCCCTAGTGACACCCACAGCCCTGCCACCCCCTTCTGCCTCCCCTTTCCTCATCCACAGGACTTGGCTCACCCTGGTTCCCGCCAAGCCTGACTGGGTTCTCCCCACCCACTATGGCTGCCCCTCCCAGCTCCTCTTCCTCTTCCTCACCCTGACTGGATCATTTACCTTACCTCGAGGAAGACAGGGGCTGTCCCAGAGGACCTGGGAGGCAGCCTGAGGTATTGGCAGGAACACCAACTGAGGAGTCAGAGGTCTTGGATGATAAGCCCTGCTCCACTCTCCCTGCTGTGTGAGCCTGGGCAAGTCACTTCCCCTCTCTGGGCCTCAGTGTCCTCATCTGCAAAGCAAAGATAAAGCAGACTTCTCAGGGCTACTGTGAGGATATGATTAGAACAAGAAATTACAAAAATTCTAACTCTTTTTTTCTTAAGTTTTATTGTGATTTGGGTGAAAGTTTACAGAGCAAATTCATCTTCCATACAGCAGTTCACATACACTTTGTCTCATGACATTGACTGCAATTTCCCACAATGCAACAGCTTTCCTCCTGCTTCCTCCCCAAAGTTAACTCTTCCCTGTATCCTTCTCTCTCATGCACTCCTGCCTCCCGCCCTGAGCTGTCTCCCTGTGCATACACAGCCCTTCTATCCTCTCATGATTGATCTCTCCAAGGAGTGTCTCTCCCTATTGTAAATGTTCTGCTCATATGCCTATCTTTTGTTTGGCTGGAAGCCACAGGAGTGGGTTCAATTCCAGACCTGAAAGGCAGCTAGAGGCCACAGTCTCAGGTATTCCTATCAGACCAGCAAACCTGGCCTCTTTTTTTTATTTTTTTTAATGATTTCAGTTTTGTCCCACATTGTTCTCCCACTCTATCCAGGATCTTCTACGTAGATCCCCCTCTGAGTGGTTGACAGTGGTACCAACTAGTTCTTTTGATCTCATAGTCATATAGGCTGAGGACTGCATGGTGTACCAGTCCCTTGGACTAATTGTTTCCATCTGTCTTTGGTTTTCTTCATTTTTCTTTGCTCTGGAAGAGGAGAGACCCATCATTGCATCTAGATGCCCTCTTGCAAACTTTTAAGATCCCCGTCACCAAAGTAGGATATGGAACAATGTTTTGTGTAGTATGTTATGCCAATTGAGCTTGATGTCCCCTGCAACCATGGTCCCGATCCCACAGGTCCAACTACTTGCACCCTCCAGTAGGTGGCTGTGGCCAAGAAGTGACTACAACTTTGTCCCTTGTCAGCTCTACTATATTCCTGGAAATTCTTACAGAGCATACAACACACTTGTAGAAACAATGTCTGCCAACCCTGTACATGGACAATGACTCTGACTCTTGAGTCACTATTTATCAAGCTCTGACTCTGGCAAATCCTACCAGATCCAAACTCTCCTTCAACCTGCCCAAAAGGCATTCTATGAGCAAGAGTGAGGTGGGCACTTTTTGTTTATGGTGATGGGAAAGGCAGCACCAAATGCGGGTGACGTGTGAACCACCTGACTTATATAACAGATGCCATTAAGTTGTACACAGGAAAAAGGATGTATTGGTAAATGCTAAGTTATGTATCATTTTACAACAACAACCAAAAAAAATTTATATATATATATACACACACACACACATACATAATAAAGCAAATATAGGCTACAAATGCTGATACTTCTTAGATATAACCAATCACCTCACAGGATTAGTTTTTTTTTTGGTTTGAAGATTTAGGGTCATGGTCTCATGGGCAGTTCAGTCAATTGGCATAATATAGTTCTTAGAGGTTATGTTCTATCTCCTAGTATGGTGAGTAGCATCTGGGGTCTTAAAAGCTTGTGACCGACCAGCTGAGATACAACTAGTGGTCTCTATGGATCTGGAGCAAAAGAGAAAGAAGGAATCCCAGGAATCAGAGAAGAAACTCATCTATAGGACTAACTGTCTCCATCAGCCACAGCTCCTCTACCTTGAAACCAGAAGATGTAGATGGTGCCCGGCTACCACTACTGACTGTCCTGATCAGGGTCAGAGGACGGATGCTGATAGAAAGGAAGAAAAACGTAGAACTGAACTTCAAATTCACAAACAACCCAGTCTTACTGGGACCTATGAGACTGGATGACTCCCTGAAACTACTACCCTGAGATACTCTTTAAACCTGGAAATGAAAGTATCCCCTGAGATCACCTGATAATAATAGGGTAACTTGAAAAGTAAAAAATGTCACTCTTGAGTACTGTCCACTTTTTAACAAATGATCTATACGAGTCCAAATGGACCACAGTTACTCTAAAGCATAGATGAGGAGGTTGGGGGTGGGGGCAGTGAGACAAAGGTAATGGGAATGGAACAACCAGAATGGAAATCATGAGGATGCTGACACAACATGCAGAACGTAACCAAGGTCACTGAACAGTATGTGCAGAAATTGTGGGGTGGGAACCTGTTTTTCTGTGTATACTTTCACCAAAAATATAATTAAAAATTAAAAAAAAAAAAAAAAAGAGTGAGGCAGGGCACAGTACTGCATGCAGCTAAGTAAGGGTGGGGCTCTGGGGCCAGACTCCCCAGATGCAGCTCGCTCAGCTCTGCCCCCTAGTGGCCGTGTGACCTCAGGCACATGACTTAACCTTCCTCTAGGCCATTTTGGCATCTGTAAATGATGGGGTTTGTCCTAACTGAAAGCGGCAATCTGGAGTGCCACGTCAGCTGTTACTGATATTGTTTAGGTCTGGACACACTGGGGAGGTGGATTCTCATTCTTCTCCAGGCAATGCTGAAGGCCCTAGAATCAGTCCAGAATTTCCTCTAAGAAACTGTGGCTGGTGAAAAGTCCCTTCGAGTGGTTGGGGGTGTTTCCCCTGAACACCAAGCCCAGCTCTGTGACTCCACTCCCTACATGAACCTCAGCCAGTCTCCACAGCCCCTGCGCCTCAGGCTGCCTGGCTGCAAAATGTGGGTGTGGCCTGCATGATCCCCAGGGACTGTCTTGCTGAGATAATGTGGCCCTAGAGAGACTTGCTTAATAGCTCAAGGGATCACTGGTACCTCCTGAGGGACAGGCCAAAAGGCCTAGGGACAGGGAAGGCTGATTTCTATGGCAACCCATTCCATTGAGGTCATTGTGTCCATCAGCATTCAAGTGTTTGGTGCCCTATGAGACTGGCTGACCTGGTTATCCGCAGCCCCGGGCTTGATGGAGGCCGAATTCCAAACCCCCTCCCCCAGCCCCCAACCGTTTCCCTGGTTTAGCATTTACCACACCTACTGTGCTGCAGGCACTCTGCCAGTCACACAGGACACAGAGATGAGTTGAGTCGCCAGACTCAGTGGGGACACAGTCCAGCAGGGGCCATGTTTGTGGTAAAAATGTATGTAACAAGGTATTTGCTACTTCCACATTTGTAGTGGACAATTCAGTGACATTACTTTCATCATGTGTGAATTTGCGGGGTTTTGAATGCAAAGGCCAGTGACTGTGTACTATGAAGGGCTTTCTAAGAGCCTAAACGTCCTTTAGAATGAACTAGCCCTGGTGATGGTCACTGGAGATGCGGAGACAGATCTGAATCCCCATGCTATCTATGAGGCGAATACTAGTATTGTCCCTACTTTACCAATGAGGAAACTGAGGCACTGAAAGGTTTGGTAACTTGCCAAAGTCACAAAAGATGAAGGAGAGTGAAAAGAAAGGGGACAGGGAACCACCTAAGGCAAGTGGGAGTCTGGGGGTCCACTGAGAACTCTTGCCCCTGAGACCTCACTCACATGGAACCAGATGTCCTTGATAGTCAAGGGCAAGAATATAAGGATGGGGATGCCTCAGGCCAGCCTACCCAGATCCTAGGGGAAAAATGGAGTCAGGCTTCTACAAAGCAGAGGGTGCTTGAGAAAGGACAGGCACATTTAGGGTTCTCCTGGTTCTGGGGCCCAAATGCCAAGTCACCATGAGTCACCCATTTGAGAAGGACCAGCCCTCCACCACATCTTTTCCGCCACTTGTACACTCTTGAGTTAGAAATAGGTCCCTGGAGATCTGAGAGGAAGTGGTGGGGGCTCTGGACTGGGGGTGCCTGAGGTTCT